TGTTTGGTTTTTTAATTTATAGGTTCTAATGTTTCCCCAAGGTCTTTGAGTTTCCCTAGTTTCTCAGGATGTTGAATACTTTCCTGGTGCTTGGCCTCCATACGTCCTCTTCAGTGAAAGGTCTCTTCTGTCTTTTGCCCATTTTCTAAAACAGTTGTTTGATTTTTATGTTGAGTTTAGTCTATAAATTCTTTCATTGATAAATTTGAGAGCTCTGTATACATTCTAGAAACAAGTCCCCTTTAGATCCATGATTGATAAATACATCCCTCCATTCTTCCTTTTATCCTCTCATCCACATGACAGGATCTTCTGCAGAGCAAAGATTTTGAATATTTTGGACTGAATACAATGTATGCATTTTTCACAAACGCTTATACCATGTCTGTGAGTCACTAAGCCCTAGGACTTTTTTTTTCCATATTCTATCTTCTAAAAGTGTTCTACTTTTACATTTTACATATAAGTCTAGGGTGAATTTTGAATTAATTTTTGTATAAAATGTGTTATTTAAATTGTGGTTTGTTTTGTCTCTACAGACAGCAAATATTCCAGCACTATTTGTTGAGAAAGCTACTCTCTCCCTGCCCATTGAAATTCCCTAGAACTTTGTCAGAATCAAATGGCCAGATTTCTGTGGGACTATTTCTAGGCTTTCTACCCTGTTCTATTGATTTGTGTGTCTCTCCCACAGTCTTGATTACTATATTATTATAAAGTAAGCCTTGAAGTCAAACAGACTGCTTCTTTCCAAATGATCTTTCCTTTTTCAAAATTGTTTTAGCTTTTCTAGTTCCTGTGGTTTTCCAATTATTTTTTGGAATGATCTTCTCTGTGGCTACAAAAGCAATCTTGCTAAGACTGTGCTAACTCTATCAATCTGGTAAGAATTCACATCTTTCCTTGATGAATTTTCCCATTTGTGTGCAAAACACTTCTCTGTCTTGCCTTTGATTCATTCCATCTATCTTTTGTGGCTTTCAGCATGTAATTCTTTTACTTGTTTTGTAAAACTGAGAACCAAGAACTATATTTCAGGTTTTCATGAAATTTTAAAATGTAATTGGAACTTAATTTGTGGCTTCCAAGTGCTTACTGCAAGTATGTAGAAACATAATTGATTTTTTTGGTGCTGATCCTATGTCCTGTGAACTGATTTTTATAAACATTTGGGGGATTCTCATGTCAATCTGAAAATGGTAATAGTTTTTGTAGTTTCCTTCCCATTTTCATGCAATTCTTTTCTTTTTTCCTTTCCTTTTCTTTTCTTTTCCTTGTCTTATTGATCTGACTAGAATTTGCAGTACTATGTAAATGGTGGTGGTGGTAAGAGGCAACAACTTTGCCTTTTTCCCAGTCTTACAGGGAAAATATTCACTCTTTTGCCACTAAACATGTTAGTGGAACATTTTATTGTTGTTGTTTTGTTTTCTAAATATCTTATATCAAGCTGAGGAAATTGCCCTCTTTTTCTACTTTGCTGAGAATTTTTATCATGAGTGGATCTTGAATTTTGTCAAATGCTTTATCTAAATTAACTCATATGACCAGTTGGCTTTTCATTTTTAGATCTTTAATAGATGGGTTGTATTGTTTGTCAAATATTGAAGCTTTATATACTCAGGATAAATTCCACTGGGTCATGATATGTTGCTGGAATTGATTCTCTATTCTGCTGAAGTTTTTGCATTCTTGTTTATCAGGGATATTGTTCTGCACTCTCCTCTTTTCTTTTTTTTTCTTCCTTGCACAGTATTTGTTTGAATTCTATAACACAATAATTATAGTCACATGAAATGACTGAAGAACCCCTTAATCTATGTTTTAGCGGGTAATGTGTAGTATTTATGTTACTTCTCCCATAAATGTTTGCCCAAGTTCTCATTGAAACCACTTGGGCCTGGAATTCCCTTTCAATGTTTTCAACTGCAAATTCACTTTATTTAATAGGTAAAAGACTATTCACACTATTTCTCTGAGAGTGTGTTGTAGGAGTCTATGATTTGTGAAGAATGGTCCATTTTGATTAATCTGTTGAATTTATGTGTGTATAATTCTTCATAAGATTTCCTATCCTTTTAATGTCTGTCAGGCTGACACTGATCTCCTCTTTTATTCCTAATATCTGTAATGCAGGTTTTCTCTTTTTTTTTTTTCTTTATTAGCAATGCTAAATGTTCGATTATTGTTTTGTTTAAAGAATTAATTTGCTTACATTCATTTTCTCCATTTTGATTTCTTTTCCTTTTCTATTCTTTTCTTTTTTTTTTGTTTTTTGTTTGTTTGTTTGCTTGTTTTGTTTTGTTTTGTTTCTGTATGCACCTTAGCCAGTCCAAATGGGTATGACAAATGACCACAGACTGTGTGGAAGATAAATGACAGAAACTTAACTCTTGCTGTTCTGGAAGTTGGAAGCTGAGGTCAGGGGGTCAAAGAGCCCTCTCCTGTGTTGTGGACAGCCAGCTTCTCAGTGGGACTTGATTGATAGAAAGGTGAGAGAAACAACCTCTCCTCTATTCATTATGCTTCCTTCTTCCTGGTCCAACTCACCCAGCTTGCATCCCACAGGCAGATCTCCCTAATGTCACTTGGGAGGTGGATTTAAGATAAACCCCAGAGGCACACACCTCTCCAGTCCACAGCCACATGTTTGCAATGCCATTATCTTCTCATTCTTTCTCTACTAGTTCCCTCCTTCTGCTTGCTTTGGCTTTATTTGCACTTTCTGTTGCTAATTCTTAAAATGGAAGCATAGGTTATTCATTCTAAACTATTCTCTTTCATTAAGCATTTCATGCTAAAAATTCTCTCTGATCATTGTTTTAGGTACAGCATCAAAAATTAAGAGGATGCATTTTAATCTCACTTACTGTACTCCCAGTATAGTTACTGAGCCCTGTCCCTGAACTAAGCAGTAATAGGTAGATGATTCTCCCAAAACCAATAAAATAAAAATAGTGCCAAACAAGATATTGAAACTTCTTAAACAAAAACAAAACAGCCAAACAACAAAGCTCGTACTTCAGTACAGAAAGAGCTTTGCATAAAACATTTTGATACAAGAAATTGAAGGAACTGTAATTAAAGGAACTCACAGAGTTTCATGAAGGAAACCTGAGGGACTACATTTTTGTTTTGTGCATGCAAATGTTCTGTTTTGCTGGAAGAAAGGATTTGGTTTGTAGCCTAGAAGGGTTCTACTTTTGCTCAAAGATCAAATACAAAGTTTAACCTTCCTGAAAAGAAAACATCATAGTAATTAAAATCATATAAGCTGGGGCCAGATTCTGGGGTCAAATGTTATATATTGCTGGGTGGATTTGAGACTTTAGACAATACATTTTACTCCTTCATGTTAATGCTTCTAGGAAATGGAAAAACAATGATAGCAACTAATTCCTAGTTTCTTTATAGTGATTAATTAAACTACCATGCATAAATGAGTTTCAGTACTTCTTTGACTCTAGTGATAATTCTAACCTATTTTGCTCTGTACTGTTAATGATTTTATCACAATTTCCAAGTTGCTCAGACCAGAGTTTTGGAGTTGCACGTGGCACTACTCTATCTCTAGCCACAGAAGTCAAGACATGAGGATATCTTTCAAATTACAGCCCATGCTGCCACCTTGGGTAGCCCTGCTGCACTCCTGCCTCTCTCACCTGACCTATGGCATTTCCAGCTCCCTGGAGCTCTTCTGTTTCTATTCCTGCTCTCCCATGTTCTCTTCTTCACACTGGTGACCTCTTTCAAAATGTGAGCCAGACTCCCTTAAATCTCCTCATCGCACCTGCAATAAACTGATGTCCTCTCTGAGATGAGGGAGCCACATACATCCTCACTGCTCTTTCATGGTTAAAGGGAAAACAATCTCTTCAGTTGCCCCCAGAACACTTCTGCTATGAAATGTGTGTGTTTTCCCTGCCATACCACCCTCTTATTCTCTGCAGACACCAACTCAGTGTCCCACATGTTTGAACTCAATCCTGACACTGAGTAACCAGAGTTAGTTCAGACCCCAATGGCTCGGTCCAATGAGCCTGTCTCTTGCTGCAGATGCCAACCACGTGTAGTGGTCCCCAAGCTACCTGCACTATTGTCCAATTTAGCAAAACACGGCCATTTCCTCTATATTTCCTCTACATTTTCCATAACTCTCTCTAATAGCTCACAAAACTCAAGGAATTATGTCATTTGCCATCACTGGCTTATTAGAAAGACTATAGCTGAGGAATGACCAAAAGGAAGACAACATGGAGACCAAATGCATGGAGACCGTTAGATTTTTTTTTTTTTTTTTTTTGTCAAATACTCCTGACAAAGACCATTTCCTGACCTACCGACTTCACATATGTGGGTCTCTGCCTCTGTGTCCCAGACACACACCCACTGGCCAAACTATCTGAAATACCTCTGTGCCTTCAAAGGTGCCATTTCTTCTACTTCTTCTACTAGAAGATACTCTGTACAAGGAAGATGTCACATTCTTTAGCATCTAACCCTGTGACTCCAATACCTAGACTGTTACTGGTATATATCAGGCTTTTAATAAATATACTTTGAATTAATAAAAGCCCCCAAGGTATACTGGGATTTGCTGATTTTTCTCAAAACCATAGGGAGTAGGTGAATTTTTATTTTTGTTAGTACATTTTTGCAGTACATATTGACCTCATTTATTATGGGGAGTTCGTGTGCATAAAACCTCTCAATTCTTTTTATATTCCAATCTCTTCCCCTTTCTCCCCCTTGTCTATCTCTTAATCTTTTTCTTATTTACAAAAATCTGTCTCCCTGTTTCCCATTATCTATCTTTAATTTTGCTCCTTAATTTACTTATACTTTGGATTTCTCATTTAAGAGAAACCATGCAATATTTAAGCTCCTATGTCTGCTTTAATTCACTTACTATTATGATCTCACCATGCACCCGTTTTCCTACAAATGATTCAAGTTTATCCTTTTTATAACAGAGTAGTGCTCCACTGTGTAAAGAGATCATGAAGCCCATGGTCCGGGGTGGACGGACCCACAGGTGGAGACTGTTCGCTCCCCACATCACAGCCTGGGATCGGCCTCGCGCCACCACTGCAGGAAGTGACTGAGTTCACTCCGGGACAGTAGTTCTCAGCCAGGCCCTAGATGCTGCCTGGCACATAGCCAAGGGCTCTGTGATGATGGCCGTGTCGCCCCTGGTGGCCACCCTCTGTTACTTCGGGAGGCTGCAGTTGTATTTAGGACACCGGCTGAAATGGTGGATTGGCTATCTGCAGAGAAAATTCAAAAGGAACCTCAGCTGAGGCTGAAGTTGATCTGCTGAGTTATTGCTCAAAAGAATGGAAAGGAGAAACGCCCTGTGACAAACAGAGGAGGAAGCATATGAGAAGCTGTTCTGGTAACACCATATTCAATGCGTTCGACAAGTAAAGAGAGACAGTTACGATGCTCTAAGACAGGTCTTGTTCAGATCTGCAGCCAGGGCCATTCCTTTCCATCCTGGATGAAGTAAAAGGACCTTGTTAAGCTTCTTGGAAAACCGCTGTTTTCACAAGATTGTAATTGGATCCAGCAGTATAGTTTGGGTCCTGAGATGTATACAGGTGCAAATGTGTTTGGAAAAGTACGTGAATGTGTAGAATTGTTGAAAATGCAGTGGACTGAATTTAGTGGAATTAAGGATTATCACAAGAGAGGCAGCAAGTGCAACATCCTTTTTGCTTTATTTTGTTTTGTTTCCATCCTGGAACACAAGCTTAACGAAGCTTTCAAGTTCATCATGCTGAATCAAGTCACCGAAGTTTATGAACAAATGAAGACTAACAAGATCATTCGCAGTCTTTCTAGGCTCTTGTTTCCCAGAGAGGCATCATCAGATCCTTGGAGCTTCATGATGAGTCACCTGAATTCTGTAGGTGACGTGTGTGCATTAAAGCAGATGGATATGTTCATACTGGGCTACTCCCTTGAAGTGAAGATAAAAGTGTCCTGTCTGTTCAAGTTCAACTCCAGAGACTTTGCAGTGTGCTACCTGGAGGAGCCTCACCAGGAGCAGCCTGAGATCTCCCTGCTGACTGAAATCGACCGTCACTACCACATTCCTGTCTTTCAAATCTGCCATGAGCTGGGCACCAGCTCTTGCCAGTGATAGGGGTCATACTTGCAAGCACAGTATTTTTCGCAAGCCAAGCTAGCATTATGAGCCCTGAAAGAAATTAGGACCTTTTCTCTGGAATTACAGGCACATGTTATGAACTGACACATGGATCATTTTCCTTCATTGTTCCATGATTTCCTCAGAAGCGGGTGCACTGGTATCGTCGAGGGTTGGTGGTTTGACTTCACACAGAATGGATCTGGCCACGTGACTTGGTAGCAGGCCTTGAACACACAGGGAGGTTTAATATGGAAAACAAAAGGACAAACGTGGGAAGTAAACAAGAAGGGAAAAACGGCCAACCTGGAAAGAATTTCTTTGTCTCCAACCTTTGCCTTCTTTATTAAGAATTTCATCTTGGGCTGATTTCAGATCATGATAAGCATGGCCACATATTATAAGCATTGCTTTTCTGGGAATCTTTGTTGTGTATTAATTTTCTAGAACCATTTGATTAACATTAAAATTATGTGTATGTGTATATACATGTGTATATGTTTCTATATACATATAAACACAAATAACCACTACTTTGTAATGTTGTACAGTGTGTTGTATCTCTTAACTTTTTTTGGTCACTGTTGTAATTGGCCATATGGGTTTGATTTAGATAAAAAAGATAAAGCCTGTGGATGAAGACAACTGAATGACAATTACTGAACTGTCACAAAAATATTAAACTCTGATGTACTTAGTGTTAAAAAAAAAAAGAGAGATCACACTGCAGTGATCCATGCAACCCGTGTTGGTGGCAGCACAGTTCTCAGTAGTTAAATCTTGAAAGCAGCATTTATGTCCACCAACAGATGAATGGATGAAGAACGTACCGTATTTATACACTGTGGAGTAGTTAATTCTATTTATGTGTAAATGAAGAGATGTCTAAACTTCTGTCTCCAAGGTACAGGTTGGTAGGTAGTAAAATCAAACTGATTACAAATATGATTTTTGTATTTACCCTCCACTACCCACTCAAAGCAATATTTTGCTCTCACCTTTGAAAGCTGACTAGAATTTATGTGTGAAGAAATAGTCTTGTAATTCCTAAAAGAAGGATAAGAAAATCTAATGCTCATGGAGAATGTTCCCGCCTACTCGGGAAAAAAGTGGAGTTTATTTAATTAACACACTACATGCAGTTTGAAGCTCTTAGAAATATTAATCATCCCTCATAACAAGTTTGCAAGTTTCGTATTATTAGTGTTCCTATTTTACAGATTAGTGTACTGAGATACAGATTGTTTCAGTATTTTGCTCACTATTCCTAGGATTCTCCTTGGCACCAGTAGTTGGGAGAAGACCTTCAAAGACTGGGACTCAAATCAGAAAGATTTTCCCCAGTACCAAAAAAAAAAAAAAAAAAATCAACAACTGGGACCTTATTTTATTAGAAAGCTTTTGCACAGCAAGAGAAATCACCAGCAGAGTGAATAGACAACCCACAGCAAGGGAAAATTTTTTTTACTAGATATTCATCAGTTAAAGGACAATTTATCTAGAATATATAAAGAACTCAAAAAAATCAGGACCCCCCAAATTTGAAGACCCAGTCCAAAAATGAGTGCCTGAAATAAATAGACTCTTCTCAGATAAAGAACTAGAAACAGAAATAAATATGTGAAAAAATATTCAACATCACTGGTCATTCATGAAATGCAAATTAAAACAATGTTGAGATTCCATCCCCCTCCTAAAGCATGGCTGCTAACAGGAAATAACCCAATAACAAATGTGGAGGGGCTTTAGGGAGAAAGGAACCCTTCTCCACTGTTGGTGGGAGTGCAGACTGGGACAATCAGTGTGGAGATTTCTCAAAATATTAAAATTAGAAGTTTAATTTGACCCAGCTATTCTTGGTATGTTCCTGAAAGAGTTAAAAGCATCATACCACAGTAATACATGCACACCTGTGTTTATAGCAGCACAGTTTGTAATAGCTAAGTCTTGAAAACAGCCCAAAATGCCCATCAACTGATGAGTGGATAAAGAAGATGTGGGGTTTTTTTATACAATGAAGTACTACTCTGCCATAAAGAAGGATGAGGATGAGACATTTATAGCTAAACGGATGAGACCATACTTTAAGTGAAATAAATCAAACACACATGTTTAAATTACACATCGTTTCTCTGGTGTTAGAAACTGAAAATGGAAATAGGACTGAGACATATAATGGACGTTGGGAAATGGGAAGAAAGTGTCCAAATGGAAATGCGAACAAGGGAGGAGGGAGGGGGAAAGGAAGGGACAAGAAAAAAAGTGAAAATAGAAGGAAAAAATGGAAACAAAGTTTTAATGCACAAGGAGGGGAGGGGACTTGAGGGAGGAAATGGGATAAAATAAAATAAAATTTATTTTTAAAAAGAAATGAATGAGAATCCTTAATAAGACAAAAGCGTTTGTTCTGGGGCCTCCCAATCAACCAGACCTTTGCAAAGGGAAGTTATTGAAAAGGAAGTCTGTTCCTGGGAGAAAGGCCATAGCAGGGCTCTTCCTGGTCATCATTTGGGAAAAGAAATCGCCCATGACAGCTCTGGCTGGACGTCCGGCAGCTATTACGTAAGCATTAGCAGAAGGGCATAAGGACGGCATGTTCAGTTGCGCTTGATCCTGGGTTTCTGGGCTTGGCTGTGGTCACCTGTGGTATGTGATAAGAGCTTCTGGAGGTAGGAGGGAACTTTTCCGAAACAGGAGGTTGCAGACTTTCTAGGGGGATGATTAGTGGGGAAATGAGAAAAGATGATCAGAAAGGGTGAGAATCTCCCAGTAGAAAAGGACTGATATGTTACTGCGGGAAGAGGAGCAACTTATCACTTCATTTTAGAGAAGACTTCCTATAAATTTCAACTCTTCTAACTCAAATATAGATTTTGTAAAAATAGAGAGGTCTGGGCCAGGCATGGTGGTGCACACCTAGAATCCCAGCCACTGTGCTTGGGAAGCCAAAGCTGGAGGATTACAAGATCATAGCCAGCCTAGGCAACTAGGCTTTTTCAAATTCAGAATATAAAAAGGGTGAACGACGTCTCTCAGTAGTAGAGTGCCCCTTTGTTCTACCCTCAGTGCTGCAGAATAAGTAAACGAATCAGTAAAAACATTTAGAGTGGAATTAAAGCATGCAATACAGAACTACTGCATGGAATATTGGAAATCGCTCCGTTGGGTAGGCAAATATCTGCCCTGAGATGGCCCGTTGTAGGGTTTCGGATCCCCAGATTCTCTGAAATGATAGTGCAGGATGGGTTCCAGAAACCAGGCTGTCGGAATGCTACGCCATGCAGCTCAAACATCCACGAGGAGCTAGGCTTCCGGGTGAAGATGGCAGTCATCTCTATCAAAAAGAGAGCTTGGCTTTGCAGGTTTTATTCCTTTTTGTGAATATTTTATGAGTCCATTTATTATTTTGTGTTCTGTTTGAAGTACAAGGGGGTGAAATGCTCCGATGCGTTCTTTAAATTGTAGGATCCTATCCTGTTCAACCCCAGACACTCAGTGGCACTGACCTCCCAGAGGCAGCCCAAACAAAATGTGAACAACCATCCCAAGTATTTCCTTTGCAGAACCGTCTGAAGGCCGTGTCTCCTGGAGTCTTAATCCTAGTCCTAAATATTTGCTGTCCTACACTGAGATAAAGTCATGTCTGTAATTGCACTATCTGTTCTTCTTCATGCTCATCATAAATGCCAAAGGGTAATTTCTTCCTAGAGGAAAAAAAAAAAAACACTCAGCCATTTGTGATAACATGCAATGTGTTTTTAATTAATGCCGTTGCTTTCTGCTGGCAGAATGGTAGCATCTTATCGTCACACGCAGGGTCCTGTCTCTCCAGGCCAAACCCCGGAGCCAAAGAAAAATCTCCTGTCATTAACTTCTCTGCTTAACTAGCCTACTTATTAAGAAACAAGCCATCAGTCATCCCGGATAAGCATATCAGATACAATGGACGCCAGGAGGTGATGAAATACTTTGGCAAGAGCAAAGACCAGTTTTGTTATACCAAGTCATGGTTTATCTCCAGTGGAGGGGGAAAAGAAAGCCATTTATGATTGCTCAAGATTCTTGGGCAAAATATCACTGTCATCTGTATCCAGAGGCAAAAAAAAAAAAGAGAGAGAGAGAAGGTTTTTATTTATTTGTTTGTTTTTCTGTGAAGTGGAAAAATGGTCTCTTTGCTGAGGGGTGGGAGGACAAGCCTGGCTTTAGGGCCCGCTCTTCCCAGGGCTGAGTTACTGCTGTCCCCTGTGCTCCACAGGGCTCTGCTTCCTCTATGGTACAGGAAAGATAAAAACTCTCTCTTAACTCTCCCCTAACTGTCCCCGAAGTCCTGAAACAACATACTGGGCCATAAGGATAAAGACATCACCACTCTTTCTTCCTTTGGGGGGGTGGGGGTACCCGGGATCAAACTCAGGACCTTGCTCTTGCAAGAAAGGCAGCGGCACCACTGAGCTACATCACTGAGCTACACCCCTAGCCCCCTTGTTCCTTCTTGAAATGAGAGTTACTTTATTTTATAAACTCTACTAAAGCAAGAGCTGGAAATAAACATTTCTAAAAATAAATAATTTTAGTACTTAAAGAATTATCAAATGCTTTTTTTAAAAAAAAAAATCCCATATTTCAGGTTTTGAGTTGTAAATCTGATCAACAGGCTCCTACTCACCCCCTGCCAAGTATGAGCAAAATTAAACACCATCGTGAAGTGCAAGGAATTTTCTGATAATGGGGGCTGAGAGGTATTTATTGTTTCAGAAAGCATTTCCTGAAAGCGTCTATAAACATAGAGCAAATACAATGATGGGTTCAAAGATGAGTGGGCCGGAAAGAAAAGATGGCACCGCTCCACCTGCCAAGTGCGTCTAAGATCAGTCTGCCTTCTATTCTTAAGCGAGTCTTCGCATTACCACAGACAGTCAAAATAAAAGTCTCCTCCTGTGCCCATTGAAATAGCCAGCAATGGGGGTGAAGGAAAATTCAAGTGAGGAACAACT